ATTTCATATTTATGTTTTGTTGAGAAGCTTCTAGGCCCGGGGAAGTACCGGTTTGGTCGCGCGGTAGTCAGTAGTGCCAACCAATAACCAAATCATGCTAAACCAACGACATTGACGACAGTGCCATTTGATTTTACTCGTTTTCAGAAACACTGATCCGATTCACCCGATCACTGGCTGTTTGTATTTCATCTTCTAGTCGGATCAGTGTTTCCGTAAAGTCTTGTTTACAGACCAAAAATAGCTTGAATCGCTAAACAACCAGTTCATTACATTTACAGAACATAATTTAGAATTTTTATACGAAAGCTAGTATCCGTTAAAAAATCCGTCACTCGTTGAAACTATTTTTTTTTCCGCTTCCCTCCACCAAAATCCGTTAGATATGACGGGAAATCCGCTAAGTTGGCAACGCTGCCGTCGAGTGCCGTCGCTGCCTTGGGTAGACTGTACTAAACTAAACCCATTGAACTAAACAAAGGGCACTCTCCAAATTTCACCGATAAATTGACCGGTCAAATAAACCGGTAGCTGTCAAAAAATTCCGTTAAAAGTTAGGTGTCAAGTCCGGTTACAAGATTTTTTTGATGCATTTTGGAACACCCTCGTGTGTTAAAGTTTGGTTGTGAAGGTTATGTTGCAACAAATTTACCGAATGACTGCCGCTAGTGCCCATTCAAAGCCATTGATGTACCTACGTCAAAAAAAAAATGTCAAAAAATCTCCAATCGAAAAAACCTACAAAAATTTCCGGTGGATCCGGTGCCTCACCAGTTTCAAACAGCTGATCATTCCGGTGAATTTTAGAACGGACAATCTGCTTCAACCGGTCAAAAATGTCGGTACATTTTGGAATGGTTTGGTGAATAAACTTTTAAACCAGTATCGCACCGGTTCAAAAACCGGTGAATTTTGGAAAGTGCCCAAATATTCTGGAACGGGCGCACTGCTTTATGCTAGTGTGCCGAATTTTGATATATGCAACCCAGCAATACAGAGGGATTGTTGTCTCGCTCGCACTCATTGCGATTAACTTAAAAGAAAAAGGAGCTTCTTCATCTTCCTAACCTCAATGATCCAAACACTTCAAACAACTGTTCTAATAGCCGTCATAGTGTAGAGAGAATTGCAAATCCCTCTTGTTTGTTGTCCTTCCTGGCACAAATCCTTGCATTAGAAACTTATGCAGCCACCGTTCCCAGTGTTGCCAACTCAGTAGAATTTCCACTAGTTCTAGTGGATTTGAAAGTCGTCTAGTGGAATCTTAGAGCAGGTAAACTACTGTCCTACGGACAAGAGGAGTAGGAATGCGCCATTCTGCTTATGAAACTAAAGTGAATCCAAATTTTTGGCAGGTGTTTGGCACCAAAATACAGGTAAAGCATTGAATTGCCTATACCGCCATTTTTTTGGTGCCAAAATACCTGGAAAAAACGGTTTCATTTTCCAAATCCAGGTTACTACTACTCCTCTTTACCTTTACCTGCTCTAAGAGTGGAATGGTTTTAGCAAATTCCACTATAGTGGTAATTTTGACGGGAATGGGAACCATGGTTTCTAGTGAATTTTTAGCTCAATGATTTTTAGTGATACCTACTTCGTTTCCATTAGTTTCTGATACTTTTTTTTTAAATTTCGAAATAACGTATTTGTATAGAATTCCTGTTAATTTACAAGAGGGTAGCATATTTTCAAGGATGATTAGACACTTACAGGATTACTTATCGGTCTCGTTTTTGGTGATTGCTGCTATATTAGTGTGTTACCATTACCGACGTCATAACTAAGTGGTCAGCTATTTAAACAGCCTACGTTAAGGCGAGAAATAACATGCTGCTACGTCACAACTGGTTACTTGTGGGAATTGTTACAGTTATAATACACACAAACCTTATGAGAATAGGCCATCCTGGGTCCTTATTCTTGAAACAGGGGAGCAGCGTTTCCAGGAGAATGAGTGTTCCGTCTTTCTCAATGATATGCAAATGACAAAGTAACAAAGACAGAACACTCGTTCTCCTGAAATAGTTGCTCCCTTGTTTATTCTGAAGTAATAGTAGGCCTATTCGGAAACGCTGATCCGATTAACCGGATCACAGTTGATGTAGTTTGCTTTTCTTCAATCGTGTTCATTAAAAAAAGATAAAAAACAAACAGCTAGTGATCGGGTTAATAAGATGACAAATTTTTTTGTGGGCTTGTCATATCGTAGGTATATCAATATTGTCAATGATGCTTTTATGTCAACTGTCAACATTGTCACTTTCAAATTTCCAATCAAGCAAACCCTATTCATGCTTCCCTGCGTCTTTATTCTCATCAAATTTTACCGATGAATCCACCATAAACCTTTACATAGAGTGGCGACAATAGAGGTCCCGCCGCCATTTTGTGCCCAACCTCTTGTTACTTTTAAATATAGGATTTAAATGGACATCATAAAAAATTGAAAACAACAAACAAAATTGGGCACAAAATGGCGGCGTTATCCATATGAATATATGGGATTTTAAAAAACCAGAAACCAGTCAAAAAGAAGACGGCAATGGTCGCCACTGTGGTGATAGAGTCACCATCCTATGTCGGTCATTGTCATTTTCCATTTACTAAACAAAGATAGCTAATTCATCGGAGAAGTCACCCATTAGAATAAAAACGAGACGCTTTTATGAACATGCTGCTGTAACATAATCTACGAAACAGAGAAAAGAAATTAACACAACACAACATGGTAGATGATACCTAGATGGCGTTGAGTATCCATATTTTCAAAAAAGAGTGGGAAAAATTTAGTAGATTTTCCACTAGTCCAAAACCATTTTTTTTTTCTCCTAGTGGATTTTAGTGGATTTAAATCTATTGTTGGCAACACTGACCGTTCCAGTGTGTTTGTTTGTTTAGTTCAAATCAATGAACTATAAACTACACGTATCTGGAATGGCACCGACCGTTGTCGGATATGGCATTTGTCATCTCGCTTAGTGCGTCCAAAAAAGCTACATAGTGGGGTATCCCTTTCTCTCTCCAGTTCATTGCTGTTAGGTTTGGCATATTCCTAACCTCGAATAAAATATTTTTTAGACAAGGAAAGATTTCCATGATTCGCCAATAAGATAAATAGAGATGTGTGTACCCCACATTCTCCATCTCAATCTGCCGGAAATTTATAGATCGGCGGGCCATTCCAGGTACGTGTAGTTTATAGTTCATTGGTTCAAATTGACCTTTTGTTTGAACGCCATATTGCGGTGCGCGAACATAGTAGCCAACAGTAGAAAAAAAAATGACTAACGTTCTGTCAACTTTAAAATCGAAAGTTAGTGAATAAATTACATTTGAAATTTAAATTTGCCGCCTATTACGAATGTTTTTGGAAAGCAAAGCCATCAATTTTAGGTTGTATTGGGCAGAATAGAAATAATAAAATATCTAGTTGACAGCCCGCTAGTAATTTTTGGTTTTCTTGTTTTGGCAACTATGTTCGCGCACTGCAATATGGCGTCGAAACAAAAGGTCAATTGAGTATACCGTGGAAAAATAGATTATGAACAACTCCAAAAATAAGCAGATATAACAAAAATAAATCTTTTAAAACGCCACTCTAATAAAAATAAAAATATCTTAGAAAAAGCAGGATTGCGTTTAAAAATAGCACTCTGGGTGTGAGAGTGACCCTAGAGTAAGCCGTTCATAAATTAACAGGTGCTTACTCAGAGCGATATGCTGAAATCGTTCAGAAATCGACAGTTGACGTGCCCAAAGTGCAACCAAATTGACCTTTTGTTTGGACGCCATATTGCGGTGCGCGAACATAGTTGCCAACAGTAGGAAAAAAAAATACTAGCGTTCTGTCAACTTTAAAATTCAAAGTTAGTGAATAAATTACATTTAAAATTTAAATTTACCGCCTATTACAATTGACCTTTTGTTTCAACGCCATATTGGGGTGCGCGAACATAGTTGCCAAAACAAGAAAACCAAAAATTATTAGCGGGCTGTCAACTAGATATTTTATTATTTCTATTCTGCCCAATACAAGCTAAAATTGATGGCTTTTCTTTCCAAAAACATTCGTAATAGGCGGTAAATTTAAATTTTAAATGTAATTTATTCACTAACTTTGAATTTTAAAGTTGACAGAACGCCAGTATTTTTTTTCCTACTGTTGGCAACTATGTTCGCGCACCGCAATATGGCGTCCAAACAAAAGGTCAATTACCCCACTCAGAGTTGAAAAACGCCCCACGATATGTTCAGAAATAACGCACTCAGAGTGCACTTCAAGTGATGACATCAGAACACTCTGACCAACAACTTTCAGACTCCACTTTTTAATGCACTCCAGAAAAAAAAAGGAGAAATCGCCAACAACAACAATCTTCAATGCAACAATCCGACTGACTATAAATAAAAGTATAACCTTTACTTGCTGACCTTGCTGTGAAAAATCTGTCAGATTGAAGTTGTCAGTTGTCAACGTAAAAACTAGTAGCGGATTCTGGAAGAAGCAGTGCAGATTTTTTTTTACTTTTATCTCTTTTTTATACAAGCTAGTAGAAAAAGACACAAATACACTTAGTGCGCATTAACTTTTTCAATAAAGTTCGCTATAGTGAGAAGTGATAAAAATGGCAGCACCCTATACGTTACCATAAAATCGGATACGCAGTCGTCCAAGCGCATTCTATTACTCCTTCGCATATCTCTGGGAAAAATGGGTCACTGATATGTTGACATTGACAAAAATTGTCTGACCTAAGGCCGAGTTCGTATTTTTCGTCGATTTGCTCCAAAATTTTGACAGGCACGTGATTTGTAAACTGAACTGTCTTATCTAGTCACGTGCCTGTCAAAATTTCGGAGCAAAACGACGCAAAAGATGACAAAAACGAACTCGGCCTAAGTTTTTCAGAAGCAACTTTTTGGTGTTAGGCCTGATTCACATTAAGTAAATTTAAAATATACATATGGGCCATGTTTTTGATAATAAATTTACAAGATTTATTTAGTTTTTTCAGTTTTTTATTAAAGCAACAGCATGTTGATTCGAGCGGGATCTGACAATGCTGTCCCTGACAAGTATGAATGACATATGACAAATACAAATAAGGCAGTGGCTACACTACTAAATTAAGCAGTGGCTACACTATAAGTGGAACATATACATAACAGGCCACTTTCACATTTTTCAAAAACATATTTAAATGATTCTTTTAGTCATTCTAATACTATATTTGTAAACTTTTTTCCGAAAAAAAAATGTCTATTTTTGATTTTTTTAAATTAAAATCGAATTTTTAAACTGGTGAGAAAACGCGAACTCGGTGTGTGACGTCACAAACCCGATAATCAAGAAAAATGCGAGGATGCCCAATTTCTTATTAGTAAATCATTACACATTTCACTAGCTAGAAACTATTTTCGTCCTTTACTACATTCTGAAAAAATAACAGATAGGTATAATCCTTATTAACTCATTTAAATTTCGCATTCTACATGTGGCAACAAAAACGTCAAAATTGGCTTTAGCCAATCAGACAGCGTTTTCAATTACGTAATTTTTCGTTTCAATCTTTAGTTTTTATTTATTAATTTATTTAAATAATCTGACTAAAATCTTGTTCATTTTCGGTTTCATTGATGTATCTGCGTCTTAAAATATCATAATTTGCCATATTCCCGGCACGTGAAATTGTCCTATTGATTGGCGATAATGAAAATTATTTAAATATTCAAACAAAAGCAGTGTATTTCATGAAAAAGACCTACATAATTATGCTACACATTTTTCAACCAAACACCTTCTGGCTATCACTCCTTGATACCATTTATATGAACTTTTAGGTGTCCTGGTTCTTTCTGGATCATTGAAATCAACCTGGACAAGACCCAACTTTTGTCTGAAACAGAAATAAATCATAAAAGCAGTAAAATTGCATTCAGACATCTTACGTATATCCATTAGTCCATTCGAAATTATCCAAAAGACTCCATACAGTATAGCCAAATATATTGACACCATCTTCGTAGATTGCTTCTAGAAGGGCACTCAAATATTGCTGAAAAATATAATATATTTATACGTTTTTTATATTATATTTAGGATGACGTCATCGAACAAGGACAGACAATATTGTCAATGAATGACTATTTTTTTTCTTAAAATTTACCAGAATGTCATGTGTCAATAATTCTGATGACAGCTAAAAACAACGAAATGAAAATGTTTATACAAGTCATGCAACGTCGCGCGCCGTTGCCAACCACAAATATCTGAAATTCCCCTACTTTAAATGCGTTAAAAAGTATTTTTAGTTTTGTTGAGTTGGCAGCAGAAATTCACTAAATGTGACGTCATTTTAAATATTGCATAGCGTAAAAATCCTATACTCTACCGTCCATAAAGAAGTTCTACTTCAAAAATCTCTTTAGTCATTTATACTTATCTTATTGGCTATTGACCTTAAAAATATAACAAAAACATTCTTTCTTACACTAATATACGTAATCCTCTCAGTATCATCCAAAATACTCTCGATATCCGCCCAACCATTTTCGGTAACAACAATCTCCCTATTTCCGTACTCGTTCCATACATAGTTCAGCAATTTCCTGAAACCCCACGGTACCAAATCGACCCAATTCACGACTGACGGCCACGATGGGTCTTTGAACGAGCTGACTCCAATGTCCAGCCAATAATGGGGTTCTCCGATACTGTCGTTCACTCCTGTTTGGAATTTAACGTAACCAGTTCCATATCTGGAAAATTTTTCAATGGTTATTATAGAACTCTACTTTACCAACACCCAAGCAGATTAGCAAGTGAACTATCATGTTGACAAATGACGTTTAATTCATTGTTTATGTGTCAATAATAAACCACTGGAACAAAATGGATACCTACGTGTTAAGAGCAAAGAAATCTGATGTATTTCTAATAAACTCAATTTCCTGTGGGGTGAATTCCGGTAGTCTGGATTTGGGAAATCCTTCGTTTCGGCTCCTGTTTCCCACTCTGTCGATTACGACTTGGGGCCAGTTGCCGTTGTAAATTGGGTTAGCGTAGAGTCCCATCTGGAAGAAATTGAAATTAAAATTAGATTCTCCTGAATTGGTGCTGCGAAATTAGATTTTCAACATTTTTCGTGACACTTAATTGAAATCTGGCAACACTGGTCACAGGTGTACCAACCAGACGTGCCAACATAAAAAAAAAGTTAGAAATCATCGAATCTTGTTATTACCAACTGTCAAGTAAAAAAGAATTCAAATTTCAAAACGATGTCACTCAAATAGAATTCCATTTATTGTGAACAAGGTCCAGGCTGTTCGCTCCCAAGGCTCCGCAAGTTAATAGGTTGTCTGGTAATGGTAAACAGATGACGTCATCAGGAAGATCTAATGGAGATTTATTATGTTTAGACATCCAGATGACGTCATAAAAGTTATCAGGCAACCTAGCTCTTTCAAACAACCTTGGTTGCTTGGTTCGTTCCAAAGAAATTACATTTTTTCGTAGATTGTAGTTTACAAAGAAATTCATGATTTTTGTTCAAAATCAAATCAAATTTGTTTAGTGAAAAATAAATCCCGACGAAGTCAGATTCAAGTTGGTTTATTTCTTATATTCTTGGTCCTTCGAGCTGGATAATGTGAATTTTGTGCTTAAAAGTTGTTTATTACTGAAAAGATGATTATGCCTGTTGGGTCGCTTTATAATACAGTTTATTCTGGAAAATGGTTTTTTTTTGTCGAAATCTACATGCAACCATCTAAAATCCAGTACAAAAAACACAGTGGATCTTGGTTGCAAGATAGTTTTCAATTTTTTCCAGAATAAAAGACATTAAAACATTAGTAGATGTTATGAAGGAATCTTTCATCTTGTTTTGAGAGACCTTTTTCTGGTTTACTAGCAGTATACACTGGCGCCGACTACATGAGCTCCCATGGGTGCGGAGCTCATGGGTGCACCTGCCTCAATGCCCCCATGTAGTCGGCGCAGAAGTACAAACGTATATAATGATCATTCCGTTCCGTGGGGCAATATCGGTATCATGTAACTTAAACTGAAAACTACCCAGGATGGCCAGGATGCCCCGTAGAAATTTTGGACCTCTGAGATATTTGGGGTGATCGCAGAAACGTCGAGTGAGCGGCCGCTTAAGATGACTTCGGCTCTTGGTGTAGAGGTCTTGCTCCTTTTCGAAGAGGGATTGGCGAGAACCCCGACCAGTGAAAGTTCTGCCGTAGTTTGAGAGCTTTTTACGAGCCGCGGCGCCTGAAGGACCCGCGCCGGAAGGGTAATTTCTCTACCCCTTTTCCGAGACTTGACCCCGAATCGCTCGGAAGTCCAGCTTTCCAAGGCAAAATCGAATTGCTGGTCACTTCCGGTCAGGGTCGTTTGAAGAAGAGTTTCCTAATGACGTTTGCCGTTCTCGTTGGAATTGGGGTTGAGGTGGCCGCGGAGGGAGGCCAGCTGCACCAGAACGTGATTGAAAATGCTGGTCATGCCTTCCGGTTCTCGGTTCGGAGTTGTCACTCCCTCCTGACCGATGTTAGGTTCGTCGGTGAGGTCGATGACCAGAAAGGGAGGTGGTATCAGTGAGGCAGGTGGGGGGTTGGTAGGTGGTGCGGGGTGCCGGGTGGTCATCTATGAATGTCATTTGGGTGCCCGATGGATTGGACTATTAGAGTCATCTCGGGAGACTTTGGTCTCGGTCTCTTCTGGGTGGAGATGGTGGGGAGTTCGGGATGCACAACTCTGTTCTTTGTCCTGCCTGGGCCCTTATCCTTAGCTACAGACGTGCTAGGTTCAGGCGTTCAGGGGTGGTTGCGCTGGTGACTGGTGCGCTATCGTCTCCCAAGATGGAGTTCCATGGGGTCCAGAAGACCGAATCGTCAGGGAACGAGGGTGGGTCGTCCTGGGTCGATCTGGGGGTGAATTTTTGATGGACCACGAGTTTGCGAGTAATATCATGTAATTTAAATGTATGTAGCTTGCGCCTGCAGCAACTTTCCCCCTTCCCTTATAAACAAATTCATAAAGTTATTATCCTGCACCCTGCACCCATGAGAACTTTCAAAAGTCGGCGCCTCTGGCAGTATAAAGAGACTGTATTCTCTTGGTTGATGAATAAGGTCTTCAAACAAACAATTCTCTTTCCCTACTGACTTACTACACAGCTTCTTACTATCCAAATAAAAATACGTACGCTAAATGCCATGTTTGTTCTAGAAGCTTCTAGATCTTCCTCTTTATCGCTTGCAGGTTCAGACCAGGCACTGTCCAAGACAATTGAAATTCTTCCTGGAAATAATTCTGTATTCAGTAAATGGATTTTATTCGAAAACTTTCTCTTAAAATACGTATTTGAAGAGGGCTTTTGTTTGGCAAAATTGATAATAAGCTATAAGCAAATCTAGCGCTCCCTTTCCAGGACTAATACCCATTTCATAATTCCCAGCTTTTATTTATTCCAATAAACGTAATAGGATCTTAAATTTTTGATTTCCTTAAACAAAAACATACACAAAATTCATTTTGGAAGAAAAACATGAGGAGAGCCAGTTGAGTAGCCAGAATTAAAAAATAAATTAAGAGCCTCAAATTTTAAAATACGGAGATAATGAGAATTCGAGTATTTAGATTAAAAAAATTTGACAACCAAAAGAAAAAATTATGAAATTTTAAGAATTTTAATTCAAAGAGAAACATTTTATTATTTTTATTGCTAATATTTCCTTTTTATTACTCATTTTAAGGCTCTCTGAATTATTTCTGAGGTTTTTAAATTGTTCTGAAGCCTTTCAAAAATACTGCTGGAAAGTGTTTTGGAACGTTCTAAATGGCTTATTAAAGTTCTACACTGTTTTAACTTGGCTTGAAAAGTTCTAAAGCATTTTAGAAGTTTTTCAGTAATTTCTAAATTGTTTGGACAGACTTTTAAATATTTTAGCTCTATTGAAGCTACCACTGAGTGTTCTAAATTGGTTCGAAAGAGTTCTAAAAGGCGCTTTTCAAAATGTTTCTGGAGATTCTACAGTTTTTGAGTATTTTGGAGCGTCCTAGGTTTCAAAACTTCTGAATTGTTCTAAAATGCTTTTGGAAATTGTAAATCGGTTTTTGAATGTTCTGGGGCATTCTGAAATGGTTCTGAAATATTCACAATGTTCTGGAGTGCTACAGAATGATTTTGGAAATTCTGAATTGAATTTTTAAATGTTTTTAACTGTCCAAAAAGTTTATTGAAGTTCTGAAGTGTTCTGTAACATTCTAAATGGTTAAAAGTAACTTAAAGAAGTCGTATATGTTACAAAATTCAACCTCTTTCAGACATCTGCCTAAATACGTCTTTAGGACAATCTAAAGACGTTTTCAATGAGATGTCTAAAGACTTCTTTGAATCTCTTTTCAATACATAAACCATTATTCACTTTTAGGTTTAGTTGCATAGTATTTTCAAACTCAATTAGAACAAAGTACCAACTGATGCCTGACTGGTCACTAAAAATTTCGATAAGAAATGCACTACCACTAGTCACCCACCAGTTATAAATTAATATTCACCTTGTTCCAATTGATTTTGGAAGAACTATACACTATACCAAATAGTTGTCTTTGAAATGTGAATTATTACATCTTATAGACATCTTCAAAACAACGTTTTTTTTCAGATGTTCAGATGTAATGCAGATCTGAAAAAGACGTCTTTAAGACTTTGTATGTTTTCTGGGTTTATATTCTGTTATAAAACTTGTAGAAATCAGTGTCCGGAAATATGGCTCAAAGAGCCAGAGACAGATTTCGTACACATCCAAATACACTGGCTAAATTATTCTTTTGGGAGTAAAAGCCAAGAAACTCAGTGAAAAAGACGAAGAAGAAAATGTGCATCGGCCATTAGTCATTTAAATAGTGCATAGTTCGTGTCAGGAAGGTTTGTACTTACGTCATCGATAACGTCATAACTTGTAAAAAAAGGTTTGTCGTAGATTAATTCATAGAACACATTCGGAATTATTGTTTTGTAATAATTTTTTTTAACTTAGGACAGAGCTCATGTGAGTTATCGGAAAATATATAAATTAATTAACTGTATTATTACGTCATCAATCATCATATATACAGGATGATTGATGGTCGATGGTATGTTAGACGCTGATGGAAAACGGAATATTGGATATTTTTGTCTTTTTGAAAGTTTGCATGCCCAATAAGTAATTGCTCCTGATGAATCATTTTAAAATAATTTCATCGATGCGACGTGGCCGCTTATACCAAAAAGTACCTAATATAAAGTTTGATATTTTAAATGAGACACCTTGTATATTCTAAATATACCTACCCTGTATGACATCTGATGGTACATATTGATTAGTTAGCTAATATCAGGGACCCGGACCGAAATGAAATATCGATTCCGTTACGGTTTCGGTTCTAAGAGAAATATTTCGATTCGGTTCGGACCAATAATTTCGGTTTTGCAAAATTCCCGGTAAAATAATTTTCGGTGAAATTACCGGTTATTTCACGTATTAACGGTAAAATTGGTAAAATTGAAAAATAATAACATTGATTTCAATTGTAGAATGCCTACTAATGGTGCTAAGATGATATCGATATGACCAGTCAGAAAGAATTCCATTGGTTAAAACTAAATAGTTTCATGACTGTTTTCAACCAATGAAATGCGCTCTGACTGGTTTGTGATTTCTGCACGAACAGACCTATTATTGTCTATTTTCTAATACAGAGATAGGGTTGCCAGACCTCCTATTTTTAATATGAGACTCATATATTTTAACTGTTTCTCATATCTCATATTAGCATGTTTAATATGAGACTATTTCTCATATATTTTATTCAAAAAAAAAAAGGAACCATCTATATCACTATTATCACTACCGTACACGTAATAAGTTGTAGTGTCATGCGTCCATTATCCGACCGTCCGATGGTACGACGAAGCTCCTATTGGCTGAAAAATTTCCCGCCACTTTTTATCCGAATATTTTCAACTTTTTTGTGACGTCGGACCAAATTAAAATAATAACAAAACGATTTTGGGTCAGGGATTTGTTTAAACATCAAAAAACTCAAGGTGAGACTGACGGATCAGGAGGTGTATCTAACTACCTAAAAGAATGTCCAGCAATACATTCCAAAATCTGCTAAAAATCATAGCCATTTGTCAAGACAGTGGCGCATCCAGGGAGGGCGGCATCGGGCCAGGGCCCCCCCAGGCAGTGTTGCCAACGAGAAGTTATCAAAATGCTCCTCATTTGTAGTAAAAACGCTCACATTATGCTCACATGTAAAGTTTTTTTTTTTTAAAGATAATTCCCCAAGTCAAAAATTTAGTAACTATGTTGGCAAGACAAGCCTTTTCTAAATGAAAAATTTGAAAGCATTGACAATTTTACATCATATTGTCATAATAACATAATGTCATTTTGACTTTTATCTTAAAAAAAAAAAAAACTTTACTAAAAATAACGTCAATGTTAAAATGTCAATAGAGAGTTATTGGAACTATTAAATAGTGCCTTGCAGTATTAGGGATCTACGTTATTTTATTAGTGCATCAGCACTATTTTTCCAAAAAAAAAACAGTTATTGGAAGACTGTAGTAGGTGGTAGAGTATTACCTTATTTTGTATTCATAATTTTGACAGCTGATAGCTATGTGTAGGTTTTTTATTGTTGTCTAGGGGTAAAGACTTCAAATAAGGCACGCCGGATACTTTAAGATGGAATTTAATACAAAAAAGACACTAAATAATCGGGCAAGACACTCTTACACTCCGCAGCACGCGGCTCTTCTAAACAATAGAATGCACTTCTTCCTAATTAGACTGTAGACACAATCACCGTCTTTATTTAATCGTAAAACGATCACTTCCACGACTTTACAAACAAACTCTGGTTAGGAAACAACAGAACGTCTTTCTATTGTCCCTACGGCTTTTTCGCACGTCTTGCGAAATATTTTTCCCCTTTTTCTTGCATGCGCTCTCGCATCCAAACCGGGAGTACTCTACTGGCCAGTGCTCTAAGGATGTCAATAACCGGTGGTTAAAACCGAAAAACCGGTGTTTTCTCAACGGTTAACCGGTTAAAACCAGTTGTTTTTTGCTTCCAGTTATAACCGGATAACCGGCTTTTATACCTAATAACCGGTGAAAGTGAAATAAGTAGACTTTTCTCTCGTCTTATTAAATAAATTGTAAGATATTGAATAAGCGACAACATCAGTCGAATATTTTCACAGTTTTTAACCGATAGTAGTGCCCATCTCTAGTATTTCATTTCAGTTTCAGTTATTTGTTCAGCAGTTGGTTGTTTTCCTTCCATCTTTCCCTGATGAGGATTGAAAAAAAAACATGTACCATCGTCACCAAAAGTATCTGGGACAAAAATAAAAAATAATTCATATTAATTTCCTGGACTAATTTAACCGTCATTCATTTCAATAGTTCTTTTCACGTGGCTCCGGTTTACAAAACGGTTAGAGAAATGACATACCGTTTTCTAACCCGGTTACAAAGTGACGTGATGGATACCTACCACTCGAATTTGAGCGGTATGTTGCGGTTTGTTAATCCGGAGCCACGTGAAAAGGGTTTATGTATTTAATTCATAGTTTGACAAATATTTGACACTAAAATTCATTTAATAGTACAAGAGCTAATATGATGCTGTCCCAGTTACTTTTGGTGACAATGATACATGAGAACATGTAGGTTAAAAGAAGGTATACATAACCGAACAACCAGTTAATCGGAATAACCGGTGTTCTATATCAGTTATAACTGGGCAGTTAAAAATGTTAGTAAATTAACCGGTTAATGGAAAAACCGGTGTTTTAATAAAAATTGACATCCCTACAGTGCTCTACGAAAAACCGCCATTTCCCCACTTACGGGTCCGCGCTTCCCAAATTGCCAGTGTTGTCAGATTGCACCACAAATTCTCCAACGTCTACACATTGTTGCGCAAGGTAAAAATATCGCCCGTTATTAAAAGAATAAAAATGATACTAAATATAAATGTAAATAAATGAACAATAAATGCATTGAAAGAAAACTTATCCTACATATGTTTATAAATTTTAGCCTCAAAAAGTGACAAAAGTGTTTATTTTTGTTTGTGATTTTCTGCTGATACCTATTTTTTGATTAAAATTAAAATTAAATAAAATTAAAATTAAATAAAATTAAAATTACGTCATCATCGAAAAGCGAAACGTCTAAGTCGTCCAAAATGTTAGAAATTTGAAATAAGAAAAGTTTACTGCCTCGCACTAACCATACACAAATAAAGACAAGCAGTAACCTTATTAAGGGAATCCTTATTTACGGACCCAAATGCGCATGCGTAGATGTCAAAATAAAGCTAATTTAAATACTGCTTGTCGTTATTGC